GCAACTCTGCCAGGCAAGCATTGCAGTCTCATGAATGGAAGATCGTAATGAAATGTATATATTTCCCAGGAAAGGCTACTTGGAAGGGGTTTTCTAGCGTGCAGGCCATGGTTTTTCTGTAAAACGTAGGTTTTTTTTTTTGGAGGGGGGGGGTAGCATATATATATATATATATGTGTATTCTTTTACTTGGTTCAACCACCAACAACAATGCCACTCAGATGGCATACCTGCAAAAGCCCCGGCCCTACAAAAGAAGAATGGGACAACATCAACTTAGATACATTGCCCACCCTAAGCCCTAAACCCTAAACCCTAAACCATTGCCCATTGGCGCGAGGCTACTGATGGAAACACGACATTGCTCACTGCGGACGGCAAAAGGTGTTGATGGGTTTGGTGGGCCCCAAGGGTTTGGGTTTAGGGCTTAGGGTTCAGGGTTTAGGGTTTAGGGTTCTCACACCCAATAATAGTGGATGAGAGGAATAGAGCAAAAAATGGCAGGACTGAATAAGGCAACCATTATCCTTTGCAGTCATGATTTGTGTCGTTGGAGGACCTGCTGATGTACGTTGGGCAATTACTGCCCCACCCCGTAACAGTTGGACAATAGATAGTATGAAGATGTAGAGCCCTTGATATGACCCTTATCAAGCCTCTTCACAAACTGTTACCGGGTGGAGGCAGTACCCTAAACCCTAGGCCTCAAGCCCTAAACCCTTAACCCTAAACCCTGAACCCTAAACCCTAAGACCCTAAACCCCAAACCCTAAACTCTAAACCCTAAACCCTGAAACCCTAACCCTAAAACCCTAAAACCCTAACTTAGGAGCATGGCCACAGCATGGGCTCGACGATCCTGGGCTCCTTTTTGTATCATCACTAGTTGGGTTGCTAACTCCAAACGGCCAAACTAAAGGGCTTGGGGTTTAGGTTTAAGGTTTAAGGTTTAGCCTAAATAGGTAAGGAGATTGCAACAAAAGGGGATTACACAGGGTTTGGGGCTCAGGATTTTGGATCTAGGGTTTAGGGTTTAGGGTCAGAACTCCTTAAAGGGGGTTATGTGGGGGAGTGTTATGGCCCATGGGGGTTTACTACGGGGGACACTAGGAGTTTAGACAATAGCTCACATGGCCCTGCTTTAGGGGCAACTGGGGCTACTAGATGACTTGTAGGGGCTATAGATAAAGCTTTCTAAGGTTTCCTGACCCTTCCAGTAGGACTCGGCAAGTGGGAACCGGAATTTCCTGGGCTGCTGTTAAGAAACTTTTTGAAAATACTACGGAAAGGCACCCCATCATTTACGACATACACATGTCATGACTCATTTGGGAGGGTTTCCCAAACTTAAGGGACCATCTTGGGGGTCCCCATAATGAGTTAGTATATTCGGGTTTACAAGGGGGACCCTTATTTTGGGAATACACTATATATATATATACCCATATCATGGTAAGTTAAGGTTACAAGTTCCTTAGCAGCAGCCCGGTTTCTGACCTCCGCAGGGTGTTTTAGCTCAAGTCTGCAGCAAAGACCGAAGCCATGAGCGGAGCCCAGGCCCGCTTTACGCGTTTAAGGGTTGAGGGCTTAGGGCTTAGGGTGTAGAATTTAGGGTTTAGGGTTTAGAGGTTAGGGTGCAGAATTTAGGGTTTAGGGTTTAGGGTTTAGAGCTTAGGGTGCAGAATTTAGGGTTTAGGGCTTAGGGCTTAGGGTGTAGAATTTAGGGCTTCACCATGCGCCTATACTTTCCGGAGTAATGAAGTGGGTGATGGACAAGAAAAATGAAAAGTGGTATGATCGTTTTTCAGGATTACGGCCCATAATTCCCAAAATGAATCCTCCTTGTACTTCCTTGCCTTCGTTCCCATAACTATACATTAAAAGGACTCCCCACCCAGTAACAGGAATCATAAGGAGGAATGGCGATTGCGTTAGGGTCCTCTTATATTGCCTTTATGCCACGGTTGCAGGATAAGTGGGGGTCCACCTAAACTACACACGCTAAACCCTAAAGCCTAAAGCCTGATACCTAAGGCTTAAACCCTAAACCTTAAGCCCTAAACACTGAACCCTAAACCTTAAACCTTGAACCCTAAAGCCTAAGCCCTAAACTATACGCCAACAGGTCTTCTTCAGCTATTGGCTTGATGCAGGGATCGCATGGAGATTGGATTAGGCAGTTGTCCTGACATGGTCGTATCCCCATCCCCTATTTCCCCCCCTACCCCTCACCATCATACCATTACACATATTAGGGTTCTTTTTAAAACGGGGGCCAGGAGGGGTTCTTCTAAGAGGGAGGGGATTGGGCAGCTAAGTGAGGGGGTCTGTTAGGTTTAGGGATTTGAGCTTAAGGTTTCGGACATCGGGTAGGTTTTTAGCCACGCCTTAGGCAAGCGTAGCGTGAGGTCTTAAGAAACTTGGTGAGCGCTTGTCCTGCCTGACATGAAGGGTTTAGGGTTTAAACGTTTCATGTTTAAGGAGACACATCTCCTGTCTTCATGCTTTTTTAGATCGACCGATATCTCGGTGAAGTTGGCTTCATGGAAGACTCGCTTATGCTCGCTTTGCTTCAGAAGGTCGTGCAAGAATAAACCGTCATCATGTCTATGACTCTCATTGAATATTGGTTCTTCTCCCAATACACCCTTAGAAGCAATCTCTACTCTGGCATGTCTTTTCGAGGTGTCCAAGAAGAGTAGGACTTTGCCCTGAACCCCTAAACCCTAAAC